CTACTCACCTGTCAGAATGGTTAAAATAAAAATTAGTGGGCTTCCCTCGTGGCGCAGTGGTTAAGAGTCCACCTGCCAATGCAGGGGACACGGGTTCCAGCCCTGGTCCGGGAAGACCCCACATGCCACAGAGCCGTTAAGCCCGTGGGCCACAACTACTGAAGGCCATGCGCCTAGAGCTGGTGCTCTGCAACAAGAGAAGCCATGGCTGTGAGAAGCCCGCGCACTGCAATGAAAAGTAGCCCCCGCTCACCACAACTAGAGAAAGCCCACACACAGCAAGAAGACCCAACACAACCAAAAGTAAAATAAATAAATTTATTAAAAAAATAAAATAAAAAATAAAAATTAGTGACAACCCCAGATGCTGAAAAGGATGCAGAGAAACTGGATCACTCACACATTGCTGGTGGCAATGTTAACTGGTACAACCACTGTGACATAGAATGTGGCAGGTTTTGGGGTTTTTTTAATTTATTTATTTATTTTTGGCTGCGTTGGGTCTTCGTTGCTGTGCATGGGCTTCCTCTAGCTGCAGTGAGCAGGGGCTACTCTGCGTTGCAGTGCATGGGCTTCTCATTGTGGTGGCTTTTCTTGTTGAGGAGCACAGGCTCTAGGTGCCCAGGCTTCAGTAGTTGTGGTACATGGGCTCAGTAGTTGTGGCTTGCAGGCTCTAGAGCACAGGCTCAGTAGTTGTGGCTTGCAGGCTCTAGAGCACAGGCTCAGTAGTTGTGGTGCACGGGCTTAGTTACTGGACCAGGGCTCGAACTTGTGTCCCCTGCATTGGCCAGCGGATTCTTAACCACTGCGCCAACAGTGAAGTCCCGAATATGGCAGTTTTAATCAAAGTAAACATGCCCTTACCATACAACCCAGCACTTGCAGTCTTGGACATTTGTCTCAGAGATATGAAAACTTATGTCCACACAAAAACCTGTACACAAATGTTTGTAGCAGCTTTATTCCTAAAAGCCCCAAACTGGAAACCACTCAGTTACGCTTCCCTGGGTTAAACAAACAGTGGTACATCCATACCATGGAATACTATTCAGCAATAAAAAGGAATGAACAACTTGGATGAACATCAAGGAAATTATGCTGAATTAAATACAGCCAATCTCTAAAGGATACATACTGCATGATTCCATGTATATAACATCCATGAAATAACATAATTATAGAAATGGAAATGGAAAACAGATTCCGGGAGGCTAAACAAGAGCACAGACAAACATTGGAATTAGACTGGCTTCTAAATCCAGCTCCAACGTGAGCTAGTGGAAGTTTGGGTGAGTTACTTAATCTCTTTGAGCCTTGATTTCCACGTTCATAGAATGGTTTGGGTTTTGTTGTTGTTGTTAGGCCCAAACACTTAATAAGTATTTATCTCCTAAAAAAATTAGTAGCTGTTTTGTTAAATACACACAAAAAAAATCATATATAAACTTTTTTTTTTGGCCGTGCAGTGCTGCATGCAGGATCTTGGTTCCCTGACCAAGGATGAACCCAGGCCCCCTGCAATGGAAATGTAGAGGGTTAACCACTGGACTGCCAGGGAAGTCCCCATAAAATTGTTTTCATTCATTTATTCAGTCAGTCAACAAATGCTTAGTTCCAGGTGTTGAGGAAAGCAGTGAACAAGACAGACAAAAATCTTTGCCCTCATAGAGGTGACACTAGTGGGGAGAGACAGGCAATAAGCAAACATGCTAATTAATACATAACAGTAGAGAGGATACTATCAGGAAAACTAAAGCAAAGTGAGGTGAAGAGAAAGCATATGGAGTGCTTAGCAGAATGCTAGAACATATTAAATATTCAATAAATATTAGTTGTTACACACTGTTATTAATAATCAGTAAAAATGCTATTTTTAAAGTTTTACATGTTAGTAAGGGTGAAGGGAAATGAATACTCTCATACACTGCTGTTGGGCGTGCAATTCATACAGCCTCTTTGGAGGCCAATTTGGCAGGTCTTTAAAAATACCCATGCCCTATGACCCAGCAAACTGAACTCTGGAACCAAACTATCTGAGTTCAAATCCTGGCCCTGCTATTGACCAGCTGTGTGACCTTTGGTAAATTGTTTAACCTATCTGTGCCTTGGTTTCCTAATCTGTAAAATGAGGATAAAAACATGGGCTTGTTGTGAGGATTAACTGAATTCATATATGTAAAGCATTTAGAAGAGAACTTGGCATACAGTAAGTGTTATATATGTATTTGTTGCATAAATTCCCCTTCCCGATATCTACCTAGGGAAACACATATGTGCGCCAAAAGCAGGTTCAGGGATGCTCATCTACAGCATTGTTTGTAGCAGTAGAAAAAAATGAAAACTACCTAAATATTCATCAATAAGGCAATGGTGAAACAAAGGAAGGTATAGTGGTACTATGGAATCCTATGAAACAGCTAAAAAAAATGAAGTAAGTCGCTATGTTCTAACATGGAAAGATCTGTGACAAGTGTTTTTATGTACCAAAAAGCTAAATTCAGAATGATACATATAGGATGATCCTATCTAAACTAAACATACAATACTGCATATATATATACACATATACATATACAGAAATTTATCTCCATACATAGAAAAAGACCTGGAAGGATACACTTCAAATTGATGTCATTAGAGCTGTTACCTGGTGGGAAGTGTTGGGGGAAGCCTGATTTGATATAAAAGTGGTCAAAAATGATTTTATATTTTACAAGGAGAATATATTCATCTGTGACTTATGTGATTAAAAAGAACTGTTTTACGTAAGGTGGATAGCTGGTGGGAAGCAGCCGCATAGCACAGGGAGATCAGCTTGGTGTTTTGTGACCACCTGGAGGAATGGGATAGAGAGGATGGGAGGGAGGGAGATGCAAGAGGGAAGAGATACGGGGACGTATGTATATGCATAACTGATTCACTTTGTTGTAGGGTAGAAACTAACACACCATTGCAAAGCAATTATACTCCAATAAAGATGTTAAAAAAAAAAGAAAGAACAGTTTTAAAGTTTAATGAAGAAGTAACCAAAAGTAACCAAAGGGAATTATCTTTTCAACAAATAGTTCTGGAACAATTGGATATCCATAAGTATAAAATGAACCTCTATCCTTATCTTGTTTCATATTAAAAAGTTAACACAGGGCTTCCCTGGTGGGGCAGTGGTTGAGAGTCCGCCTGCCGATTCAGGGGACACGGGTTCGTGCCCTGGTCCGGGAGGATTCCACATGCCGCGGAGTGGCTGGGCCCATGAGCCATGGCCGCTGAGCCTGCGCGTCCGGAGCCTGTGCTCCTCAACAGGAGAGGCCACAACAGTGAGAGGCCCGCGTACCGACCAAAAAAAAAAAAAAGTTAACACAAAATGGATCATAGACCTAAATGTAAAAACTAAAACTATTAAATTTCTAGAAGAACTCATAATCTGCATGACTTAAGGTTAGACAAATATTTCTTAGGTACAATACCAAAAGCACAGTCCATAAAAGAAAAAAAAAAAGATAAATTAGACCCATCATAATTAAATACTTCTGCTTTTCAAAAGGCATTGTTAAAATATGAAAGACAAACCACAGATGTGGAAAAAAAATTTCAAATCACATATCTGATAAAAGATTTACATCCAGAATATATAAAGAACCCTTAAATAATAAGAAAAAACAGCCCAATTTTTTTAAATGGGCAAATCATTGGAACAGATAGTTCACCAAAGAAGATATATGGATGGCAAAAAAGCACATGAAAAGATATTGAGCTATCTCTATCAAGCTATGATTGATATCATTAGCTTTCAGGGAAATGCAGAATAAAGCCATAGTGATATAAAACTACACACCTATTAGAATGGCCCAAATTAAAAGGGTTGACCTTCACAGGCAACAAAAGAAAGAATATATATGTTACACTTCATCAAAATTAAAAACATTTGGGATTCCCTGGTGGCGCGGTGGTTAAGAGTCCGCCTGCCGATGCAGGGGACACGGGTTCATGTCCCTGTCCAGGAAGATCCCACATGCCGCGGAGCGGCTGGGCCTGTGCGGCTGGGCCGCTGAGCCTGCGCGTCCGGAGCCTGTGCTTCGCAACGGGAGAGGCCACAACAGTGAGAGGACTGCGTACCGCAAAAAAAATAAAAATAAAAACATTTGTGCATCAAAGAACTCCAGACAGTGAAAAACAACCCACAGAATGGGAGAAAATATTTGCAAATCATATATCTGATAAGGAATTAGTATCCAGAATATTTAAAGAACTCCTACAACTCAACAATTTTAAAAAACAGACAACCCAATTCAGAAATAGGCAATGGACTTGAATAGATATTTCTCCAAGAAGATATACAAATGGCTAGTAAGCACAAGAAAAGATGCTCAACATCACTAATCATTACGGAAATGCAAATCAAAATCACAATGATGTATAATTTCTCATCCATTAGGATGGCTATTATTTTTTTTAATGGAAAATAACAAGTGTTGGTGAAGACGTGGAGTAATCTGGAACTCTTGTGCATTGCTGATGCGAGTGTAAATGCCATTATGGAAAACAATTTGGCAGTTCCTCAAAAACTTAAACATAGAATTACCATATGATCCAGCAATTCTCCTTCTAGGTATAGACCCAAAAGAAATGAGAGAAGCAACTCAGATACTTGTACACCAATGTTCATTGCAGCAGTATTCATAATACCCAAAAGGTGGAAACAATCCGTGTCCATCAACAGAGAATGAACAAACTGCAGTGTATACAAGCAATGGAATATTATTCAGACTTAAAAAGCAGTGAATGTGGGATAGGGAGGGTGGGAGGGAGGGAGACGCAAGAGGGAAGAGATATGGGAACATGTGTATATGTATAACTGATTCACTTTGGTATAAAGCAGAAACTAACACACCATTGTGAAGCAATTATACTCCAATAAAGATGTAAAAAAAAAAACAGCAGTGAAGTTCTGAAACACGCTACAATACGGATGAACCTTGAAAACTTTTTTTTTTTTTTCAGAATACTCAGACTTGCTTTATTATAGTACATGGGCTAGGAATGATGGGAGGGGGTGGATGTTGTAGACAACCACTGCCCTGATTAGCATCCCCATCCCAATGGCCATGAATGTGCCAAAGGTGCCGCCACTCTGCATCATGGTTTTCCCGATGCCGCCCATCAGCTCCTGACCCCGCATTCCGATCCTGAGACAGGAAAAGGTGCCGAAGAGCGCCCCAGGTGCCATGCCCACAGCGCAACCCATCACAAAGCCCATCTTCACACGGTCGAAGCAGCTTGGCTGTGACTGTCCATAGGGGCCCATGGCCACCGGCATCTTTCGCTCAGCTCTATGTCTCGAACCTTGAAAACTTTACGCTAAGTGAAATAAGCCAGATACAAAAGGACAAATATTTTATGATTCCACTTATATAAGATACTTAGAATAGGCAGATTCACATAGAGAAAGTAGAATAGAGGTTACAAGGAGTTTAGGAGAAGGGGGGAAAGGGGAACTACTGCTTAAGGGGTACAGAGTTTCTGTTTAGAAAGATGAAAAGGTTCTGAAAATGAATAATGGTGATGATTTCACAACATGGTGAATGTATTTTTTTAAAAAACCTATTCAAGTATAGTTGATTTACAATGTTGTGTTAGTTTCTGGTGTACAGTAAAGTGATTCAGTTATATATATATATATTCCTTTTCATATTCTTTTCCAGTATAGGTTATTACAAGATTTTGAATATATTTCCCTGTGCTATACAATAGGACCTTGTTGTTTATCTATTTTATATATAGTAGTTTGTATCTGCTAATCCCAAACTCCTAATTTATCCCTCCTCCCACTTTTCCCCTTTGGTAACCATAAGTTTCTTTTTAATGTCTCTGAGTCTGTTTCTGTTTCAGAAATAAGTTCATTTGTATCATATTTTAGATTCCACATATAAGTGATATGATATGATAGTTGACTTTCTCTGTCTGACTTACTGCACTTAGTATGATAATCTCTATCTAGGTCCATCCATGTTGCTGAAAATGCTATTATTTCATACTTTTTTTTATAGGTGAGTAATATTACATTGTGTATATGTACCACATCTTCTTCATCCATTCATCTGTTGATGGACATTTAGGTTGTTTCCATGTCTTGGCTATTGTAAACAGTGCTGCTGTGAACATTGGGGTGCATGTATCTTTTCGATGTGAATGTATTTAATACCACTTAAACGTACATTTTATTTTTGTTCGTTTGTTTTTATGCTTTCACCACGCTGAGCAGCAAGCGGGATCTTAGTTCCCTGACCAGAGATCAAACCCATGCCCCCTGCAGTAGAAGCATGGAGTCTTAACAACTAGACCACCAGGGAAGTCTCCTAAAAGTACATTTTAAAATGGTCAAGGTGGTAAATCTTATGTATAGTTTACCCCAATAAAAAAAATAAGTTAAAGACTGACCTTAACATAAGTTGGTGAGGATATGGAGTAACTGAAACACTGTTAATGGGAATGTAAAATAATACAACCTCTTTGGAAAACAGTTTGGCAATTTTTTCAAAAAGTTAAACATACATCTACCATACGACCTAGCCATTCCACTTGTAGGTATTCACCAAGAGAAATAAAAATATTTGTTCATAAAAAGACTTGTATAGAAATGTTCATAGCAGCTTTATCTGTAATTGCCCCAAACTGGGAACAACCCAAATGTCTATCCAAAGGTGAATGGATAAATTAATTGTGGTATGCACACATATATCCGTGTGTATATGTATATATACATACATGTACTATATGATATATACAATGAGGTACTATTCAGCAATAAAAAGAATAAACTATTGATGCATGCAACAACATGGATGAATTTCAAAATAATTATGCTGAGTGAAAGATGCTAGACAGGGCTTCCCTGGTGGCGCAGTGGTTGAGAGTCCGCCTGCCGATGCAGGGGACACGGATTCGTGCCCCGGTCTGGGAGGATCCCACATGCCCCGGAGCAGCTGGGCCCGTGAGCCATGGCCGCTGAGCCTGCGCATCCAGAGCCTGTGCTCCGCAACGGGAGAGGCCACAACAGTGAGAGGCCCGCATACAGCAAAATAATAATAATAATAATAATAATAAAAAAGATGCTAGACAAAAAAAAATAGAGTACAGACTAGAAGATTTCCATCTATGCAAAATTCTAGAAAATGCAAATTAATCAATAGTGACAGAAAGCAGATCAGCAGTTGCCTGGGAGTGCAGGGGGAGGAGCTGGAGTGAGGGGTTACAATGAGACATGAGGAAACTTGGGGCTGATGGAATTTCACTTAGTTGCGATGATGGTTGCATTGGGTGTATAGGCACATCAAAATTTGTCAAACTGTATACTTTAAATATGTGCCATTTATTGTATGTCAATTATTCCTCAATAAAGCTGTTGACAAAAAATAAGTTTCAGAAGGAAGTAGCCAGAAGTGGTCAGGAGGGAATTGGAGCACTAATTCGTTGACTGAGTCACTATGTTCTATGCATTTGATACATCATCTCTGATTCTTACAACAAACTGAGAAGTAAGTATGGTTATCCCTATTTTCCAGATAAGGCATCTGTGGTTCAGAGAGATTAAGCCATTTGCTCAAGGGCACACAGAGATAGATTTAAACTGTGCTCTTTCCATTCTGCCTCACTGTCTCCCAGCAATGTGAGAAAGTGAGGAGAAGGCTGTGCTGGTTCATCGATTGCTGACAGTAAGTTGATCAGGGAATCTGAGGCATGAAAGTTTACTCTTTAAGATGGCGAGTGAGGGGCTTGGACCGCTCCACTCTTGGTGTGACTTATGAACATGAACCACTCATACACAAAACTTCCCTCTGGCAATCTGGGACAGGATGCTGGGGATGTAAATCTCAGTTCCCTACTCACCATGCACTACGTGATTTCATTTATGAAATGCTAAAGCAGTTCTTACAAAACAACGGAGAAAACAAAGACATTCAATATATTACAGTGAGAAAATTGATTAGGTATTTCGGGAAAAACTAGATTTTTTTCAGTTTATCTTTTATTCTATTTATCTTTATCAACCCCAAGTTGATAAAGAATTAAATACATGTTATTAAATAGAATTGAGTATTTAGCAGATCTTTGAACTGAGGGTAACCTTCTAAGCTTTGAAATGACGAGAAGAAATTACAAGAGAAAAGATAAACAGATCTGGCTATATAAAATTTTGAAACTTTGTACATAGAAAAATATAACCAAAAGGAAAGTAACTAATTGGTAAAAATATCTGCCTCAAATATGACAAAAGATGAATTTCTGTGATCTATAAAGCACTCATGCAAATTGATCAGAAAAACACATCCCTCAGGGACTTCCCTGGTGGTCCAGTGGTTAAGACTCCAAGCTCCCAATGCAGGGGGCCTGGGTTCCATCCCACATGCCGCAACTAAAGATCCCGCATGCCGCAACTAAGACACAGTGCAGCCAAATAAATACATAAATATTTAAAAAAAAACACGTCCCCCAAAGATTAATGGGCAGAGATACTTCACACAAGGGGTAATGGAACGAGTAAAGAAGTGTATGGCAAAATGTTTAACCTCACTAGTGATTTTTTGAAGTGCAAATTAAAACAATTACATTAGTAAAAGTTAAAAATAAGTGATGGGCTTCCCTGGTGGCGCAGTGGTTGAGGGTCCGCCTGCTGATGCAGGGGACACGGGTTCGTGCCCTGGTCTGGGAGGATACCATGTGCTGTGGAGCGGCTGGGCCCGTGGGCCGTGGCCGCTGAGCCTGTGCGTCCGGAGCCTGTGCTCCACAATGGGAGAGGTCACAACAGTGAGAGGCCTGCGTACCACAAAAAAA